GAGCTGCCATGCTGCTCCACCGGCCCCTCTGACCACCATCACCAGGCAAGGCAGGTGAAGTGTCTTGCCCTTTAGATTATTTTGAGTCACTATCAAAGAGAGATGAAGAAGAGTCACAGTTCAAATAAAGTTATTTTAATAAACAAAGACCTGAGTTCTTTTTCTGAATGAGTTCCCCTTTGATTTCCCTTCTGGTTTCGCTTTGGTCTCCAGTTTGTCTGTGTCGAGGCAGATGGTCGCCTGTCCTGAGCCTGGATCTGATGGAGGTTTCTTCCTGTTAATAGGGAGTGTTTCCTCTCCACAGTCACCAATGTACTGCTCAGGATGGGAGACTGTGACAAAGTGATTCAACACAATCTGCTGGCGTCTTTAGATTTATTGCTTTTKTGTACAGTGCCCTGAGATGTTTGTCGTGACTTGGCGCTATAAACTGAACTGAACTGAATTGTTCCTGGTTTCATTAGTCACAGCTGCAGCCACTCTCTTCATCAGCCCCAGCCTGTATAATCCTTCTTTTTCTAACTACTCACCAACTGAGCAATATGCTTTGTGTCTGATTTCCTCAAAGCCTCCTGTGGCTCTCTGTCCCTCCTGGAGATCATTTCTCTCAGTTTCTGTCACGTTTGTGCTGCAGCCACATCAGCCTTTGTTTCTTTAAAAGTTAAATTTTAGTTATTTCTTTGAGCTTCTTGTGACAAGTCTGCAGTCGTGTTTCTAAATCCTCCTGAAACTGTGGCAGCTCACTCTACATGTAACGAACTCTTAGCTTGACGCTGAGTCCCACATTAATTTTTTTTTGAAGAAAGTTATTTATCAAGATCTGGAAGTTTTGCAAACCCTTCTTAGATGTTGAGTATTCAGTAGTTTAATGCCAAACATGAGTCACCCAGCTTCCTGATCTGGCCTTCACCAGCGCTCATCAGTTTTCCTCGGGTCCTGTAGGTTTGGATCTGATGTTCACTGGAACCTGCTTAATGTTCAGAGCAACACGAACTGCAGAGTAACCACATCTGGAGTGCGGTCTGGTTGTTTGTATCACTCCTTGGAGGTGGGCCAAYCTACATGTCTGTGTAAAGTGGGTGACACCACAGGCAAGGATGGTCTTTGCTCTCCAGTGTCCCAAATAAAAAAAAGATGAAGACAAAAAGACCTTTCAGTGCTCGGACCAAAGTGCTTTATTTTTGGCACGCCTTTTGAGCTCGCTAATAGAATAAATGCACTTCAAAACAATCTGTAGYGTCAGCTTTAGTAAGAATATTTAGCAAAACACGACACATCAGCTGGAAAAATCTGTAATTATTTCTTGATCCCGGTATCAAAGCTGATCCAATGCAGCACCCCACAGCAAGATGTAAACACATACCCAGTGAACAAAGAGTCTTTGTACCAATAGTAGCACATGTGTACACTTTTTAAAAAGTGAGTTTCCTCATGCTGCAACAAATATACAAAAGACAGCACCATCTGTATCAGTATAGTAGTTGTTTAAATCTGAAACTTTTGCAGAGTGCCAAATCAGTTCACTGTTTCTTCTCAGGAAACAGACGGATTCAGAACATGTGACGTGACGTCCATGTGAGGTGAGTGAGTTTACAGAGCTGGTACAATTTACATACAGATAGTACAAAACTGAGCAGTGAACCGGCTTTTGTGTGAAGAAGTTTTAGAATAAATGTGTGAAAAGAGGTGTTTCAGGAGGGATCTGTGCACAACAGAATAACCACATTTTCTTTAACATGTGACACGCACCAATAAACACAATTCTGAAAAGGAACAAATAAATTGACTTAGAAACCAAAATAAATGAAGTAAGTACAAACAACTGACCTCTTCTGAGTCTTCACGAAAGCCTATGTTCAGTCTTTGCTTTTTTGGCAAAGGCACTCGCCAACTCAGCCTGAGGAAGAATACCAGACATGAGCTAAAATAGACATTAAGACTTGCAAATAGATTGAGGAAAACACTGTTCCCATCCAGAATACACTTCGGCTTCACAAATAGACTAGTCAGCTGGGGTTTTTGGTCTTAAACCAAACATGGAAAGACTAGTACTATGCCTAATACAGCATTAGGTCAGTCTCCTCTTGATGTTTGGATTGTAATTAATAATTTATTTTAATCTTGGAGTTCAGAGGAGTTCACATATTTCCATGTTATTGTCTTTGTGGCATGTTTTTTTGTTATTGTGCTTTTCCTTCTTACAACAGATAACTTTACTGAGAAAAAAATGAAAGGATTTCGCTTCTAGGATCAGCATAGACAAAAATCAGCTGGAAAAGAGTGGCCTGCCATTACTGGGATGTTTAAGTATGTTGGGGTTTTGTTCACGTGAGGGAGAAGAATGGGGTGTGGGATCAACAGATGGTGGTGCAGTCTCTGTGGTATTGTGGACACTGTACCGGTCCATTGTGGTGAAGAGGGAGCTGAGCTGTAAGGTGATGGATACATGTGATCAAAATGGGTTTTCCCCACAGGCTGGACTCCCTTAGAGATGAGTCAAAAGTTCAGCTATCTGGCAGAGCCACTTGAGGTGGTTCAAGCATCTGGTAAGGACACCCSTAGAAACCTCTTGGGCATGCTCAGCTGGGAGACCACAGGGAAAGACCCAGGACATGCTGGATGAACTCTGTTATAAAACCATTCCACCAAAYGGCTTCACCAGTCCATCTCTAATCTCCATATAGACCAGTTGTTCATAAATCAAACATGAAGCTGAGCACTTCCTGCTCAGACATGAGCTTTCAGAAATTAGGCAGACAGTACCATCTTCCAAGAGTTCTTGCAGAAGAGCTGGAGGAGGTGGCTGTGGTAAAAAAACCGTGGTCTGACAAAGACAGTAGAGGCAGGAATATCAGAGACGATGCAAATTCTTTCTGTTTGGATGAAAAATTCAAGTTTATTCAAGGATACATGACTCAACTTCATCGTTCAAAAGAAAATACGCTTTGCATTCTTCCTGAACAAACCTTTTAACAGCTGATATGACTAACATGCTTGACCGGACTTCAAGGAAATAAACATGAGGTAATTTGAACATTTAGGCGGACGTCACCCCTGTGAAGGATGCTGTGTGTCTTGGAAAGCAGAACCCATTAGCATGCTCACAACAGTCTGGTCCGTCAGGTTTGGGTCTGAGAGAGTAATGACTTTGGCTGCAGCTTTTGCCAATAAAAAGGACCTCTCTTCAACCTCCTCTACTTAAAATCTCAAATATGTGTCTCACGGCAGAACAGAGAGAGGAACACTGAGAGCCCTGTTGGTGACAAGTCGTTGACTGAGTCGAGGCAGACATGCTGCGCAAAACATAAAATTGCAGTCCTGATGTTTGTTGGGTCTACATTACAACAGAGCCCCATTTAATTTCAGCCCAGGTCAGTTCAATTTAATTTATCCAGAGTGCAAAAAACAAAACCTTAAAACCTTTGCCCTGTATGTCTTTTAGCCAATGGCTAATTTGTGTACCCAGTGGTTTAGTTTCTCCATCTGACCATCCATCAATTTTCTTTACCTACTTTTTCTTTACAGGTTGCCTATCTACAACAGTTACCGTGCAAAAGGCCAGGTGCACATTGGATAGGTTGTAAGTCCATCACATTACCTTTTTGAATTGCAAGATCTGGTGCCCAGCCCAGGCCTTTGCATAGCCTTGATTGTTTTTGCATGTGAGCAGGATTGTCATAGCAAGGACCCTCGAGACTCACATGATGCCATTTTTTGTGACACTCAACAATGGAAAGCATGGAGCTCATTAAATGCCGACTGTTGTAGCTGGAAGCAGACATATAAAGATAGTCAAACGACCAAAAACTCATGGATGGAGATGAAACAGACGTTTTGCACGGAAGAGTCTGTCTGACAAAAATGGTGGAGCTTTAAGTGGGATAGATTTGTAGACAAATAATGGCAGATATCAGAGTTTATCTCACTTGCAGTGTAGACTCCAGCGGAAGTGGCATGTACCACAGTGGGAGGGGTTTTCCAGGAGTCAGGTGTGGTTTTGTCTGAGGGCAATAAAAGGCGTGTGCAAAAAACACGTRACCGTACGTCGACTGTCCGGCGTTGGATGGAGTATGTGGAGGCCTTAAATGGTTACCTTTAACAATTCAAATATTATGATTCCACACCTCAGTTGCTTTTTGTCATGGTTTCCATGATATTTGGACTCAGAATGCAGACCCCCAGACACGAGGAGTTCTTTATTAAAACAAAACAAGAAGGCTGACGTCACATGGCAGCAAATTTACAAAAACGTGAGACCCTAATCCTCGACTGAAGACTGAAACCAGAGTGAATGGGCTGGGGCTGATGAGGAGAAGTGGCTGCAGCTGTGACAGGTGAAGAAAGTAGGTGTCAGTGGACGTGGCAGGACTGTGTGAGGCAACGTGAGGAACAAAATGAAAACACAAGAAATGCCAATGACTCTCACAAAAACAGATCTTGACGCCTTTTGGTTCATATTTTACATGTCCATATGTTTGATTGTAAATTGGTTTTTTGTAGTTTAAATAATTTTGCAAAGGCCATGTGTGGTTTTGTTTAGTTTAACAGATTACATTTGCACAAGTCACAAATATTTCTTTGATCTCTGTCATCCATGATGTTACCAGATTTTGTTGAGGTTCACAGCACTGAGTGTGTTGGTTCTGTTTTGTGAACACATGCTCCTTTTTCCTTCTACAATTTTTTTTCTATTTTTTTAGTTCTTTCTTTAATAATAATAATACGTTTTGCTAAAGCTTTTACTGWCAATAAGCTACAGATTTGAGCCACAAATAGCAGGTAATTCTTTTGGTATGCGGTTTGCTCTTCCTCACTTTCTTTCTTCCCAGTTGCAGATAAGTTGCTACACATCCACACAAATGTTTGGCAGACAGTTCAATTCCTTCTGGATAGGGGGAAAGGAGAAGGGGGGGGGGGTCGTCTGTGTTTGTATGTGTGTGCGTGTCCCCCTCTCTTTTCCTGCTGGCAGCAGTCTATGTGTTGGCAGGAGTAACCAGAATAAAAACACCAGACACAGAGGGAGAAAAAGCAAAGTGATCCAYTGTACAAGAGTCGTTGCCCTCTTGTAATTACACTGAGTCCTGTATCTTTTTTTTCCTTTCTCACTTACTTCATCTCTCTTTGAGACCTGGGGGAAAGTGGTAATTAGCTAGAAGAGAATAAAACCAGCTGATCGGGAGAGGAGTGGTGCATTCTGGAGCGAGATGGCTAACAGAAACCTTCTCCTGCTCCTCTGCGGACTCTTCCTCCTCTCAGCGCTGATTCAGCCCTCTCTTCAAGGAGGTAAGCGTGCCACAGGTGAACACAGACATGACCTTTGCTGTATCAGTTGCACACTCAGAACAGGTGCATTTTAGTTTTTCTGTTTTGGTATTTTCTCCTTTTTGTAATAGGACGTATCATCATTTATCAAACATTTTCCAAAGGTGATGCTGTTTAGCTGTGGGTCAGAGAGCTTTAAAAGGAAAGTTTTATTTTTGAGCGAAACTTTATTTGCTGTATTTTTACAACCTCACTATAAAACAATYCAAAGGCTTAATTTAGAGCAAACTTTGTTGCATTTAACAATTTATAAAATGTGTGGTTTAACAGTTGGTCTGCTAATTGTTTTGATAATCAATAATAATTTATCATAAAACTGTGGAAAACCCTGYAATGATTGCAGCGTTAAATGTCTTTTTGCAGGTTTGTGTCTCATTTCTGTACAGTTAGAAGTGAGGTGCAGGATTGTCCAGTAGCTTTCCATATCATAATCTGATGTTTGTGTCCAATGACTTTATTCTTTTAGCAGGTTTAACAGTAACACAGAAAAGCTACACTCACGCTTTGATAACAGTTTGGACCTACCGTCTGATGTCATGGAATAACAAGTGTAATCTAATTTTAACATAACAGCCTTGTTTCTCAGGGATGTGTATTTTTTAAATCAAATTCACATAGTCAAATTGACTCCTGCACACACACACACACACACACATGCACATATGTGTGTGTTCACTTGGCTGCAGAGCCTGTCCTAAAAAATGTCAGGAGGAGAATGTTCCAGCTGGCCCGAGTCTCTGCTCAGAAAAACCACGCAGTTTAAATTCACCCCCGATGAACCCCTGACAGTATAATAGACTCTATCCGAGAGTCGCAGTCAAAAACCTACGACCAGGTCTTCTGCTGCTGCTGCAGTCTGAAGTTTTGCTTTATCTGGTTCAGCGAGGGAGGAAAGAGATATTTAACACGCATTTTCCCCCCACTCTATCATCCTGTTTCTCTTGTCTATTTGCATTGCTCTGATTAGTTCTCAGTCTGTGTTTTGGCTGCAGCTTCTCTGACTTATTTAACCCCCGAGTGGAAAACATGTTATTCATCTGGAGTGGAAATGCCTGAAAAGAATTCAATTTATTTATTTAATTTAACGATTCAAAGTCACAGCCATTTAATTTCCCTCTCTTTTGAAAATCCCAGCATTCTTAGCATGTTGGAAGTTTCCTAAAATAAATACCGGCGTTGCAAACTGTGACGCCTCATTTATTTTAGCTGCCTGAATTATTTGTTTTAATTTTAGGGGCCATGGTGGCTCAGTGGTYAGTGCAGTGGTTTTATAATTCTGTGGCTGCAGGTTTGAGCCCAGATTACATCTGAACTCTGTCAGTAAAAATATCCAACATGTAAAGGATCTTACAACAGACTCACCAGCACAACTTCAATCTCAAGTATGTGTTGAATCCATCGACATCAAACACTTCTGTTGGACTTAAACTAGACCCATCAATGTGCGCACTTTGACCTGAATAAAAATAATAATAGTAAATTAAAACTATTAAAAAAACTATGGGCATGGCACAAAGGATCTGTGAAAAACATGAACCCTCATTAACACCTGATCCACCCATTTTAGCGCCTCTRGAGCTTGAGAAACTCAACCTTTGAATGAAGGTGGAGTGCCAGAGCTGTCTCAAAGCTTTCCATCAACCAGTGTGAATGACTTATGTTCTCAGAGGAAACATCTGCTAAGTTTGTTACATGTACCCCTCCCATGCTGGTCCACGTCTGTGTGCAGGTAATAAAGTGTTTGTTGGGAGTCTCTAGTCTAATTGGATGAGCAAAGCGAACTTGCTTTATGATTTCAGACATTTCAAATAGTTGCGGGAAATTAAAAAAAAGGTTTATCAAGCAACTCACCTTGGCGCCTCAGTGAATGCATACACAATCGGTTAACTTATATTAGACATTAGTTTAATTTAAAATATTTGCACCAATACTGGCATCATTCTTCCTGGCAGAAATWGGTTCTGAGCTCAGATGAAACGGAGAAAAATAGCTGTTTTGTTCCTTCATAGTCTCTAAAGACAAGAAGCGGTTCTTTAAGGGTTTTCTTTTTTTTCTTTTTCTGGAAGCCAGTTCACAACTTTTGGAAATGACCAAATCTGCCCTGAGAAATTGAAGACATAAATCAGTGAAACATGCGGAGCATGTGGTTGAGTTTAGGGATACCAGCACAGACTGAATGGCAAAGAGTCACAMAACTCTAAGAAGTGAAGGAGAGGCTCAGCATCACACTGAGAGAGTGGTCCTTATGGTTCTTTTTGATGTAACTTTTTGACTCTACACAATGTTAGCAAGGTTGGGTGCCAGCTGCCAGCATACTGGATTCGTGTGACATTTACTGTGTRCATTCATCACTTTATTAATTTATAAAAACAGACTATTTCAACCACCAGCTCAAGAAAAGCTTTTATCTCTGTATTTTCTTTTTACTTGAGCCACTGTATTGCAAGATCCACAATTTAATTTGTTGCTCTAGTTGGTTGATGTATTCTGAATCAGTCTCACTTCATTCTGTCATTAGTTGGTAGGACCTGTTTTGTTTTAAGCACAGACTGAACAGTGTGTCGTTTCTCTTTCTGTCRCCACAATGAGCAAACTCACAGGAAAGATCTGATAATTGTTTTACATCAGATGTCCAGGAGCCTCCGGTTTACAAAACCACCTCCCTTTGAYTGAGCAACATTTTGTTGTGCTTCACTCAGATGTGAATTTTTAAAAAKTGTAAAAAAACTGGACAGTTCTCCTCACATTTTACAGTTTTACAATAAATGAGTGGGAAGTCCCACATAGTCTGACACCAACAACAAGAGGTAATTATTGCCATGTTGGCAGTTTTTACTGTAAAAACTGCTGAGTGGTTTTCATGGTTTAAACCAGAGAATCGATGTCTTAGCATGATTGTCATTTTTATGTATTTTTGTGTAAATCTATTAGACTTTTTATATAGATGGATGGATGGATGGATATTTAGTTCTGCTCCTTGTGTTTTATTTTGATTTAATTTTGTGCCATCAGTCACTTCTCCTCAGTCAGCAGGCCATGCCCATTTACACCTGTGCTCGTTTCACCTGTCACAGCTGCAGCCACTTCTCTCATCAGCCTCAGTCCTTTTAATCCCCCCTCAGCTTCACTCCCCTCACCATTTGAGCATCACTGGTCTACAGCTTCATGCATTTATTTGCTGCCACAACCACCTTTTGTTTTTGTTCAAATAAAGATTAGTTTGATTGTATTTAAAGCTCCTCGTGTCAGTCTACATCCTTGGGCCCAACCAACCACCTCCTGAAACCGTGACATGCGAACAGTTACTGCAAGTCATTAGTAAGGTTCTCAGTGCCCGTCTTTATTTATGACTGATCTGTGATTTGTTTAGTGCTTACTGCTGTGTTTTGGATAAATGTCAGTCTCAACGTTTCTCAGTCCTGTGTRTGTTTGGTCTGCGTCCGTCCGGTGCCAAATGCTGAGAGAGGCAGCACATTAAACAGGATGATTCATTTCACTCAACCCTCACCAGGCTGGGAGCTATCAGGAGCAGGCCAGGAGTCTGGGCCGGCTCCTGTTGGAAATGTTTGTATTCTTCTCTTGCAACTATTTATGCCCCGAAAAATAGTTTAAATGGCAGGAAATGTGGATGCTTTTTCTCTCGTTTTTTTTATTATTTTTTATGAAAAACCCATAACAGATGATGAACTAATGAGAAAATTTGGTAGGAAAACAAAGTTCAGAAGAAATATAGGAAAACTAAATGATGTGTGCTTATGTGAATAGTTTAGAAGCTGACACAACCACTTTATCAGGTTTTTTTAAGCCTTACTGTGGGTAAGGTGAGGCAACATATGTAAAATTATATTAGCAATGAATAATGACTGTAGTCTCTTGTGCTTTTGACATTTTTACTGTACTACACCGCAGCATGACAACATAAATCCATCTCCAGGTTCATAACACAAACTGTTCCTTCCACAGGCTTCCAGGGATTTCATGTGTTTCAAACTGTGGCTTTTTCCCTTCACGATGATCATCTCTACAGTACTTTCAGAGCAGAGAGTCCATATCGGTTCCAAAACTAATTTAATTTTAAATCTAGCTTCTTTAGTTTCAAAGGCACAACTTGCCTAATCTTGTAATGATTCCCTGTCGACTTCTGGTGGAAAAGCTTCCCTCAAAATGTTGAAAGGTAAAAAAAAAAAAAAGACAAGGTTTCAATCCTGTCTTTAATTCTCATTTCAGCGCTTTAGGGAAGCAACATCAGGACAGGGTTGGGCACGTTTAGAGAGGAATGGTAAAGCCAGATGGTTTCTTTATTTAGACTTCATTTTGTGAGATTCACTTTAAATTTTTGTCTTTTATTCGTACAGCTACTATAAAAACAGTTGCTGAACTGCAACATTGCTTTGGTTGTCGTATGAGAAGTGGTTCTTACTGTAAATAAAACCTTTTGATAAAACATTTTTATTGATCAAACCTTTTTATTTAAATGTGTTTGGGGTTGTTCACAGCAGCAAGAGGTGAGAGTCAGCTCCTTCAAGTGGGCGATATTTAGTTTTTTGGCATTGATCCAGTAGGGCTATCATAGATTATAATACTGATACTTGTCATGTTGATTGAATGTGATTTTGAGTTTACTTAGTTGATAATGATAATATACTGAAAATTTTATGCAAGTAAAACTGTTTTGTAAATTTTTTTTGTTTTGACTACTTCAGAAAGGTTTTCTGCATGACTTCCTGTGCTGGCTGTGGTTGCAGTGCAGTGAGTCGTTTTAAAGAGAATACCGTCATCGCTCATTTTGTGTGGTTTTGTGAAAGTGTTGTGTTTGCGCTCACATGAATTAGTTTTATTTCCCCAACATTTAAGCTAATTGTCATCCCCAGCAGTCGGTCGTAAAACAACCACAGCACAGGGTCGGGGAAATGTCATTACTCACCAGCTTGTTGTGAAGGCAGTAAAACTACGTTTGTTTAGAGTAAGAACGAGCAATTGTGAAAATTGCCAGTTAATGCGTGCGGTGCTGTGGAAAAATGTTTCATTGGCTCAAATCTGATTTAAAAACAAAATAAGTTCTGACTTAATAATTCCTAACTTATTTATTGAGCCATTATTTTTTGGTTATACTGTAATTACATCTATCTGTCGTAAAATCAACATTTGTAGCCAGGACTAGTGTTTCACTTAGTTTGTGATAAATAATAGTGTTTTCTGTGAGCTTTAAAAACTGTTGATTCTGATTTATTTTGGCAGCTAAACAGCTGATTAAAAAATTCATTTGTTTATTTTCCAAGGTAATATTCAAAACCTGATATCAGGTCAAAAAAAAGCAAAGAGCTCATCAAAATGCCWTGGTTTTACTCACTAGAGGCTAGAATACTTCCATGTGCGTACACTGCATAAATATACTGCAAATTCTGCAGAAGAAAAGGCTGCATGTATATTCAAGCTGTAAGCTTGAATATTAATTTCATTCTGGAATTTGAATTCTTTAAATTTATCTGCAMTTGTGCTTCTTCATTAGATGTTAAATTAAATGGAAAACAAAACAAATCCAACAAATGCACTTTTATCAGTAATGGTATTTTATTGTAAAATGATTTAAGTATAATCTAAGAATATAACCTTAACACCATCTCAGTGTGCTTTCACAGGACACGAAAACTGCACTAATGTAATATTTGTCTTGAAATAAATCAACCTTGTTTGCATTTTTGTTCACATTAACGAATGTCATTTCWTTAGTCTGTACTGTAATTTTTACTTCATGGGTTTATAGGTGTTTAGTTTTGTGTTTCAAGTTTTATTTCCATGTTTGTTTTTTATGGTGTTTAGTTTCTTTGTGCCATTTCCTCRGTCAGTTTCCCACTCCCCTGTCCTGGCTGTCACACCTTTTCTCACCTGCTCCCTSTTTTATTTCACTTATATAAGTACATTTATCATTCCCAGGCTGTAACCCCACATATCTGTTGGAAACATTTTTTATCTGAATCCAACTGTCTTTATTTTGAAAGAGCTCATAACTCAATGATTGAGACTCATAAGACCGCATTCAAATTAAAAGGTGCGTTAAAAAAATCAGGGACATCACTGTTAACATGTGGCTGCTTCTTTGTAATCATAACAGTCAATAGGATCTTCAATAAGTTACAGCAGTCATTGCTGTTTAACTGCAAAAAATGTCATAGTTCTTAGCCTTTTACTCTTGCAGCAGGTAGTAAATTTACCTGTTTCCTGGACGTTCTTGTTCAGTTTGTCTCTGAAGATCAGCTGATGGTTTTTGCAGATAAGATCTGTTCGAAGCACAAAAAGGACACTATTCAGTCTGCTGTGTGAGTTATTATTGTGAATGTCTCTTCCACTGACATCAAACATTAAACGTGTGGCTTTTATAGACATTTCAGAAAATCTGGCTTTGACTTTTTTTGCTGTAATATATTTGCAGGAGCATATAGCTGTCATACGTTATGATGGGCGGGTTAATATTATAACTCTGTCGTCTTTATTGATAGTGACGTGTCCTTCATGCACTGGCTCTGCTTACCAGCTCATATACTGTATATGAGCTATGAGAGCCATGAGATCCCGTTTACAGTAGTTGTATTTATAGAACCAGAGTCTAAGCAGCAGGAACGTATGGTTTTTTTYTCGTGTTTTCTTCCTCTGAGGCAAACACAGGTTCATTTGCATCAGTTGCTTTTTAACCAAGATGAAGAAGAATAGGCAAAGGGAAGRAGATGTTTATTGCAAACATGTGATAATGAGGGGAGGCAAGCCTGGCAAGTCGTATTAAACTACATACAGCCGTGTGTCACTATGAACAGCCTAAGTCAAATTTTGAATGACTAACCTTTTGAAATTAAACAACTCTTTGTAAAGAACAGGTTTACAATGTTCGGCTCCCTTMAAAGAGCTGTAAATCCCATCACTAACCAACAGCCTGTGCCACTCGCTGTATGTTTTATTGCACCTGATTGGTTGCATGCAGCATGATCTCAACACAGTTTTGACTATATCCTGCACTTTGTTGGTTAGGGGGGTGGGACCTTTCTAGACAGGAGCCGGCTTTCATCACTTGCATATATGAGCTGGCAAGTAGATGGCGTGCTAAATGAAGCCAGAGAAAGGCAACATTCACATCGCCRTTTATTTAAAAAAATAATAACAAATAAATCTGTGATGCTAAGTGAGCAGACGCAGGTGTGAGATGATGGTGTAAACTAAACAGACGACCAAACTCAAAAACAGATTAGAACTAAAAAACAAATCCTTATGAGAAGTAAAGTTTCCACAGAATGAGACAAGAACGAAAGCAGGAACGAATTACACGTAATGGGCTGAACATTTCTCATAAACACAGGCAATCTTAGAGTTAACCAAAACAAAAAAGAAAACAAGGCTAGCCTCACAAGTTTAATGAAGCATGGATGATAACAGCAGCTGCGTGTTAGAGACGGGTCGACCACACCTCGTCACTGATTATTTGGAGGTGTGCCTTACAGGGAGCAGACAGAGTGCAGGATTTTTGCAGAGTTAGGAATTGGTTTCCTGCTTCAGTTTAAACGTCATCTCTGTGTCATTTTACTATTCTMGTGATGAATCATGCACAGTGTGTTAACAGTCCAGGTTACATCTATTCTTTTCATATTTAACCAGAAACAATAAAGGGTTTGTACACATAAGAATATATTTAGTATCCCTACCTTTGCATAAATTTTATACCACAAATGAATCAGATGTACTGTTTTATTTTAATTAGGTTTTAAATRAGGTAACTTTAACTTTCCTCAAAGACAAGAGGTGAATTTTTAACTTAAGTCTTTAGATGGTTTCTTGGCCAAGTTAATTCTGTGGCACACTTGAGATGCATGGTTTTAGTGAACCCTGTGCACTCCACTAAAATGATGTGATTCCAAAGGAACAGGCTCACTGTTCCACCTAACTGCCAAGACAGGAAATCCTTTTGATTGTAAATTGAATGAGCGAAGCCGAGAAAGCTCCCTCCACACCCACGGTGAGGTCTCTGCACTGAGGTCCATCCGAGCTGTTGGCATGAACAAACTGTCAGACGCTCATAAACACAAACACKCTCGCATCTGTTGCATTTATTTTCTTAGCTGTTTGCTAATCAGATGCAGAGCCAGGGGGTTTTCTACTCTTTGTCTTGTAGTCTCAAGGAYGTTTAGTTTTTTTCACTTAGGCCAAACCGCAAGAAATTGGATCAGTTCTTCCATTGTTTAGCTCTCTGATTTTTACGGTTTTTGTTGATACTTCGGTGTTAATGGGAGGGAAATACCATTTTTCCTACTTTTAATATGAGCATACCAGCTGGAAACCCATCTTGATTCCATTTTTTGCTTGCTTGTTTGTTAAAAAAACWAACATTCTTCCCTTCAGACCCCAGTTTTGAAAAATCTGAGTTGACCCCAAACAAATTAGAGGTATATTAACAAGCTTGAAGTGAGCAGCACCAACTTGCAGATGATCATAACCCCATGCAGTCATCTCATCACGTCTACATTCAGTAAACATGGCAGGGTTTCAATCGTTTTGTATCATTGCGGCCATCTGTGTGTTTTCATGACCACTGAGTGACACAAACTGCTTATTTTCTGATTTTTATTGTGGCACAAATCCAGTAAACATGCCTGAGTCCATTAGAGGAAAATGTCAGTCAATTTGTAGCAGCGTGCCAGCATGATGAATATTCTCTACAGCTATGTCTAATCGTCATGCCACGCAATGTTGACCACACTCTGTGGTCAGTAAGACTTCACACAATATTCCTCTAATAAACACATGAACGCCTTTGACATGTGGTTTAAATCGATCATCCTCTCAGACCATATAAAGCCATTAAACACAATCAGTCTGGTCCAGCAGCTCTGTTTTCTCGTTTTCATTGTGATTGTGTGATACGAACCAGGTTTAATTAGACATTTATACAGTATAACTTTGTAATTGAGGTCTTAGCTCACCTCTCCCATTAGACTTAGCTGTTGGTTGTTCCAGAGCTACTTTGAGTCATTCTTTTTTTAATCCCCTCGTCTTTTTAAAGATCCTGTTATTCCTTACACACTTGAGGCCATATAGACCAGAATCCAGAACGGCCGTCTCAGGAGATCCTTTGAGTCGCAGCCAGAAATCAAGCGAGAATTAAAGCTGGAGCAGATTTCTGAAATAAATTTTCCAACTTAGGTACCTCACCAAAAACTAATCAAAGCCCAATTCCCTACCTATAAAATTCTGCTTTATTTTTTTCTTTTCTTTCATTTTTACTTTTGCTCTGGTTCAAGCAGATGATGTGGTGCTCCAGCTTCTTCAACGCAACCTTGATGTGTGCCAGATGTGCACATCAAGGACAAAATTCAGTGTTTTTTCCTGGCTCAGGGATAATGAATGCAAATGAGAATGTTTGTCGTATGAATGAGGTTGTTCAAAGATTAAACAAAACAAAACRAAACAAAAATGCGTATCTCACATCAGTGATGGAAGATGACTCTTTGATTTTCTGTTTTCCAGGTGTTTATGTACCACCTGGTACTGGCATCGGACCAGGAGGCACCGGTCCAGGTCCTGGATACTTTCCAGGTAAGAGCTGTTTAAGTGAACACATCCACAACAAACTAATCTATGGTTTTTGCAAAGTATAAAAGAACAGCAACTACTGTGGAGCAGAAAACACAGCTTGAGAGTGATCAGAACATTTTGGGCTATCAGTTAAAAGACAATTACTAAAACATTTATAATAAAACCTTGTAAATTATTATAGAAAATTTGAATACAAAAAGGCATTATTAATGTACATTTATATGCGTCACGTGTACAATATAGCTTTTTTTTTAAATACAAGAGAACTTTAACTACATTGATGGTTACATTGATTCTCAGCATTGTTATGACCCTTGGTATGAAATAACATGTACACATGAATAAAAATGACATGTGATCCAACTGTACTCTCTGAAAGAAGCCTAAAGTTATCTGACTTTATGATTAATCGTTGACCCATAAACTGTTCAAATAACTATAACCTGCATGACTGTTGTTGTTTTTTAGGCTCAACTGGACAATTCCCTGCAGCCTATAAACCAGCTAAAGCTGCAGGTGAGTGGAAGAGACTTAAAATTTGTGATTGTCTCTCTCTTGTTTGTTGGAAAATGGGTACCATAAAATATAAAAACAACAAGTTTCTTTTCAGCATTGTACACGCTGAACTGTGTAAAAGTTGTCTAGATATATTTAAACTGGACATCTTCCCTCAGCTATGGTCACCTTCATGCAGGTTTGACTTCTGCAAGTTTATTTCCTAAAACATTTCATTGGCACTTTGTTTCTGGTAATGTCAGTCAAATGGCCAGTGCCTCCAGTCATGATGAATACTGTCTGTAATTTGTCACTTCATACCTTCATGGCAGATGCTGAAGCACAGTTCAGTTTCAAAGCAGGTCACCACCTGGGTGCAAAATCTCAGCACGGATCCAGCTCCTGTTTGTTGAGATAGTTGAAAAGTACCAGAGCTGCAGGAAGTGTGATGTGATATCTTATTAAAAAACTGACATTTTTATATCTTTTGAAATATTAACCAGTATTAGGTTAAAAACTTACTGTTGGAAAAAGATCTTCCTGTCAGCTTTGATTTGCTCAAGTTCAGTAGAAAAGACGCAGCAAGCCTTGGATTGAAAACTGTGACTAATTTAATATTAGGATAATACTGTAACTGTGGTAATAAACAGTGTTTTAGAGCCAACTGGTGTCATTAAGATAATTTGCTGGTAGACTAAAAAAAATGTTTTTGGACCTATTACTCTTTTTTCATTTGCACTCTTGTCACTAAGATTAATGTTCTCTCACATCCAGAATAAAGGTAATAAGCATAAAAAAACATGATTCTGTTATTAATGGGTTTTTATTTTGTAAAGGACAGAGAAGCTCATCATCATCTTCTTTAGAGGATAATTTATCTAATAAATATTTTATTTCTTCTGAGACAAATGAAAAATGTCTCAAGACAGTTTCCAGACTAAAATTTGCACTTTTAAGGCTCCTTAACTGACTCATTTTATTGCCTCAATGGATAAATGATACTGACATACTCCCCACATTTTTTAAGTACCAAAAGGAATCATTTCGCTTTGGACTGGTGGAAAACTCTTTTTGCATTGTGCAGTGGTGCTGCCAGAAATTTATTCTAATAAGCTGGTTATGTGAGGGAGTCTTTTTTTTAATTTGAAAGAAATTTATGTTATTATTTTAACTCCCATTTGCTCAACTGCAAAGGTTTCTGACCAAGGGGGGCCACTGAGTGAATTTTTTAGGGGTGGTCTTTGCCCTCCTGGTCCCTAACTGGTGGCATCCCTRCAGTGTGAGCCAGTGGTGATGACTTCAGAGGGTCACAGTCACATGTTTCTGTTTGACCTCGACAGCAGGAGGTTACGGAGGTGGTGGTCGAGGTGTTGGCCCTGGTGGTCTGGTGCCAGGAGGTGTCGGGACTGGTGGTCTGGTGCCTGGAGGTGTCGGGACTGGTGGCCTTGGCTTTGGTGGCTTGTCAACAGGTATGAATGTAAATAAAACCCTGACTGGGTACTTGTATTCAGACCCAACAGTATTGGCTTCTTTCAAAATAATTCAGTAAATTACATTTTTTTACGTTATAAATCTTTTAGTATAAAACTGAGTATTCCTCTCACCTTTTTTTTTTCCTTTACCAACAGGGCAAGTTGGAAAAGCTCCACAAGCAAGTGAGTTTGAATATTTGATTTTTTTGGGAAATATTAGATTTCTGTTCAAATAAATGGCTTCAAACTTCAAAGTTTAAACCATTGCTGTAAACATGCATTTCTACTCTCTCTACACATCATGACTCTATCTGAGCCACATGGAACATTTTAGTTTTTTTTTACAGCAACAGTTTGAGTGCCATGAAAAGGGAGGAAATGTGATGCATTGTTATGGAGTTGATGAAGTAATGTATAGGCCTGAAGACATTTACAAACCATCAGAATGGGCAGGTCCGCACAGATGGAGGGTAATRGTCTTTTGAGTGGTTGTCACCACATTTTTCTTATCGCTCGTGTGTTTTTTTGTCCGGGTTTGTTTACTCTGGCCTCACAGCTGTTTGGAGCATCCTGAATGGAAACCGCCGCAAGAATCCGCCCTCCCTCACCTCCTGGTGCATGAGGAGTGTCAGGGAACAGATGGTTGTCAGAGAGCAAACAGCCTTCAGCCGCTACCAAACAATGGTGCCAGATCTCTGATTAATGTTGCTGCATTGCTAGACCCTCACAATATGTGGAAACCTCCATGTTGATATTCTTTTCTCCGATACCGCACTGTAAATATTTTCCCTTTGCTGTATTTCAGTATTCGCCCTCTTGGTGCTTCGGCAATGTTTGGCTATCGTTTAATTTCCCAAAGTGCTGCCGATACAATCTCACCCGACCTCTCTGTGTTTACAAAGATAAGGAAACAAGCAATAATCTTGTAGACCTGATAACACATGGAGCAGGCTGCAGAAGGGTCCCCTCTGACTGCCACACCTCCACCCACTTACAAGACTTTCCAAAGTTCCCTTTTGTGAAAATGGCCTAATATCCAGTTTTAGGTGGAAGTTGGTTTTGGCTGGTCCCAGCAGAGCGTTCCTTAAGAAATATTCCTAACTTTCATTTGGACTCCTCCTCTCTCCCTCACAATGTAAAGAACTTAAATTAGTGAGAAAAGGGGAAGCAAGGAACTCTTTGGATGTTTTCTTTTTCTAATCAGAACAATTTGCATTCCTGCATTGCCATAAATAATCCTTACTGATGACAGCTWTTAGAAAAAAGTCCTAAGATTTGTTTTGTCCCATGGCTGTAATGCAATCTTCCACAAGTGGGAATAATTTTCAGTCCATCTGAAGAATAGATCTTGAAGTCCTCACAGCTGAATGTGTTTCTTTATAACTTACAAATATCAATTTTTTTATATAGTTAAACCACTAGTCCTGAACTGGACAGTCTCAGATACATCAGCGTCCTGTGGTCCTAAACCAGAAAGTCTCAGATACAAGAGTTAAACAAATGTGCAGCTCACCTGTTGGATAATCTTACACAGAGATGAGTTATGTCCATTTCGGGAAAGGTATTAACTCATTCTAAATGTGTTTTAAAACCATAWTTAAGAGGCAGGATTCTTTTGTTTTAAGTGTACGCATGCAAACACCAGCGAGTTACAATATCGTGAAAAACATATCCCACATAAAACGAGCTGCCAGTCATCCTGTGATGCAAATCATGTGCTGACATTACATTCCATAAACGCACCTTGCCCGCTCAGTAATGGAGAACAGCAGCTGGATATGTGCGTAGCGTGACTGCAGTGAATTGCAGCGTATAGTTCATGCAGGACCTTGTAAATGTTACACTAATTGTAAAGCCTGTCAGCTTTCAGCTTTGACAATGCACCGGGAAAGTTGGAGAGAGAGAAACTCTGTTCTGGTTACAGCTGTTGGACTCGGTTTCTTTTCCTGTGGTGCTGAAAGCAAAGGTGGATCCAATACTCGAGGTGTAATTGCTAAAACTTGGCTGTCGTAAACCTGCTTCTTGTCTGTTTCATGCAACTTGCAAGCAGTTAAAACAAAACAGGGCTTACTGTTTTCATACGCCCGTCCTGAGACGGGATGTATTATGGTATGTGGAGCCGTCCGTCTGTCCATTTGTCTAGTTTCTTTTCTGAGCTCTAAACTATTAATGTTTTAGAAACATCAAATTTCATGGCTGGATACCTCATGGGTCGAGGATGATGCTTACTGACATCAAAGCTCTATGTCACAGAAAGAGGCCTGAAGGCAGCCCAAGTCCTTTTTGCACTTCAAGGCTTGGCCCAAGCCATTCTGGGTTCAGACCCAGGTTGCATTAGCCCTGGTAAAACCCAGTTCTACACTAATTTCTGGAACCCCAAGAGCTGTGGTTCTAATAGGGCCAAACCACAGCTGTTGAGGTTCGATTTTTCATCAGCTTCTGTTGCCCATCGATTGATTCAATAACTGGGGCGTCATGTCACACAAATGGGACCTGAATTATTAGGAGTGACTGTAATGTTTTTTTTCACATGAGTTCAACTTATCAACTGTAGTAAATCAACAAGAAACAACAAGCTAACATTAGCTACCATTAGCTTACTGTCATCTGTCGATTTACCCTTTCATCATAAGCATCATACTACCAGATGGTGCATTTGTTTCGAGTTGGGTGTAGTTCATTGAATTCACAAATAAAATGGCCGAATGAAACCATGCTGGACCACGCCAGGCCTTACAGTGTAAAATGGTCACTAAACTTGCATGTTTTAGACTGTGAGTATTCATGCAACAAAAAGGAGAATATGTATTCTCCACACAGAAGACCCCAGGTCCAACCCAAGGCTTGAAATCAAGAGCTTCTTGCTGTGAGGCATGAGTGTTAACCTCTGGGCTGCCATCATTCATGATCCTACATGTTGAACTCTTTCTTAATTTTCAGCATAAACATCATTTTCAGTGTAAATTACCTTTAAGCCCACCACCACACTAACAAGTATACTT